AAAGTACATATATCCATTTTTTTAATTTTCCGGTAAAAATAACTAATGTCTAATTGAGAATTAATATTTAAAGCTGCAAAACTTTCCCGGAATATTTACAGTTTATACGAAAAAAATAATATGTCGATTTCGCCTATAAACCGAATACTCCGGTGAATACTCAGAGTGGTATATGTACATTACTTTATACTGCACTGATTGTCGCCTTAAAGAGCGATGACTTATATAGTCTATGCCTGCCACGATTACCCATAGCTTGTAGTTGGGGCATAGGAAAAAACAAGTTTTCGTATGTCTTCATGAGAGTCACTCACAAATTAACACAAGCTCGGAGTGTATTGAGTGAAGTTAAATGTGATGTCGAGTGTGCTAAAACGAACGTAGGAGTCGACTGTTCAATATTCAAGCGAGAGCAAGCCACATTGAATGAGTGCGAAGGGGTGGGTACAAGAGATTGCATTCCGAATGATTTCTGTCATTGTTGTCGTGTGTGAAGGGAAAAAGAAATTATCAAACTTCGTTTCAGCCTTTCGGCTAGTGACTGGACTCTCTTGGGCTTTGCCAAATTCTTCGTTCCATTTTATGCTCTACTCATTCTTACTCATTCTCACTGCAGACTGTGCCTATTGGTCTGTCTGTCAATCTGTTGCTCAGCTAAGTGGAATCGTTGCCTTTTGGGATTTATATAGCTAGAAGATTCCTTGGCTTTTAAGCATGATATCGATCGATACTCAGATCATATACATATAAATATATATCATATACATTACATAATAAGAATAACAATGTAAATAAATAAATACAATTTCATCACATTCTTATAATGCTTGACTTACCTCAAAGCTGACTATGCCGCTATGATCCTGATCCAGGGTATTAAATACATAATGTGCGTATAATGTTGGATTTGCTGTAGTTGTTGTTTGTATATAGTTTGTATTTTATTTTATTTTTTTTCAGAACGAGAAAAGAAGAGAAGAAACGAGAGACTGTGTTAAAAGTGAGTGAACAGCGGTTAAAAGCCAAGACGTGTATGTCTAGGACTTTAGGACTTTGACTTTTAAGTAGAAAACTTTTGAATACATATATGTGCTTACAGTAACTCTCAACTCTACATATACATAAATAGAGATACGCAACACACATACACACATACACTGATGCACTCCCACAGAGGCGTGTCCGATAGACAAGCGATTACTTTACCACATGCCACGTCATCGATAAACTATGCGCAAAGAACTATGTTGTGTTGTGTTGTGTGGATGTGGTTGATGTTAAATGGAAATGAAAATGAAAATGGGAATGTGAATGGGAATGGGAATGCAGAAAGTGAAAAGTTAAAGTGAAAAAGCAAAGTCTTCTGTTGTGCATYAAGTTCAGTTTGAGTTGCCCAGCATCAAGATGGAAATGCTGTCGTGTCATTGTTGGGTCGCAAACTTTTATGGGGGCCTGTCCGACCCTGTTGTCGTCCTTCAATGAACACGGCCGGTACTTGTGTCGCTCTCAAAATAAATGTGAGCGAGCAACGAGCGTGGGCAAAATGTTGCAACAAAACTTTCGTTTTGTCAGCCGCAAAGTTTTTGTTGCTTCTCGAAAAAGTCAACATGGCCCCAAACGCGACTTGCGACTCTCTAAGACAAGCCCCAGCCCCAAACGCTATCTAAATACCAAAAAAGAATAAAAACAAAAACTGATCTCAGCTAATTATGTGTGCGGGTGTGCGTATGCGGGCGTGTGAGTGTGCAGATAAGTTGTCAAATGCTTAGCAAATTATGCGGCATGTGTGTCAAGTACCCTGCATGCGATGCGTCTGCAGCGAGGGTATGCTCGACGTGGGGGAAAGCTATGTAACGCTAATTAGATGACTAGCTGGCTGCCTGATTGAGTCAATGACAGATTAGATGAGAGAATTACCATCTGATTGACTGACTGATGGACTGATTTACTAACTGATTGACTAACTGATTGATTGGCTTACTGCCTGACTGATTGATTGGCTTACTGCCTGACTGATTGATTGGCTTACTGCCTGACTGATTGCCTGATTGACCGAGTGAGTGACATACTGAGTGTCGAATAACTGATTATCTGAATGATTGACTGACTGACTGATTAACCGACTGAGTATCTGATTATCTGATTGATTGATTGACTGATTGACCTACTGACTGATTACTGACTGGCTCACTGATTGACTGAGTAACTGATTGCCTGATTGACTGACTGGCTGATCTACTGGAGTGACTGGCTGAGTGGCTCATTGATTGATCGCTGATTGACTGACTGAAAGACTGATTGATTGACTGATAGCTTGGTTGATTGACTGATTGGTTGACTGACGATCATTGTACAAACAATTTCATCTCTACCAATAAAGCGTTTCCCTTGACAGTGTGCACTACAAGGAAAGTAGATGTAGCATAATACTTATATACACTTTTCTATATACATCGATTATATATCGATATATTTTCTACAATTGAATTCTTACATTAACCTTAGCTCCCAGGTAGTTTCCATTTGAGTTAGTTTAGCTAGAAATATTGTATATAACTATGAATTTCACTATTCCAGCTTCAGATTCCGACACTAAAAGTTGTTGTGTAAATTCTAATAGTTACACTTATCTATAGGGTATTAAACAGTCTCCCACGCTCAGCTCAGTTCAGCCCAGTTAAATGCTCGAGGCACACTCCGACTTCAGTTTTACTGCCCGCGCGAGAGGCGTGGCGTGACGAGGCGCAACCACCGGCGGGCACTTGGTGCAAATGCCCTTATCTGGCCATCACATTACATTTAGATTATTGCCGAGCAGCCGCTCATTTGTACTGGGTATTTTTATGATTATGGCATGATGCATTGTGGTTGTTCCAGTTCCAGTTTCAGTTTCAGTTTCAGCTTCGGTTCCGGTTCCGGTTCCACTGCAGCTGCAACTCTCCAGTGCGAATCGTGCGCTTTATGGGCGCACAATGTTTACACCTCTTTTCGAGTGGTCACAGCACAGAGAAATGCAGTTCATAAAATGGCTACCACGCTGCCACGCCCAGCGTTTTGGGCGGAATGTGTGGCAAAGAGCAATTTTATTGATGTGCGTTTGCCCTATGTGCTTTAGCGCCTTTATGTTGGCCCGAAAAGTGGACTGAAGACAGAGGGCTTTGGAGACTGGGGATTGGGGATTGGAGAGAGGCGGGAGCGAATGCTGCTCCAAAAAAAAAAAAAAAATGTATTTGTCAAAGTTTATTGTCGCCGTTTGATACTTAATGTGTTTTTATGACGCATGACGCACTGGCACGCCCACTGCGCCCACTACGCCCACCCCGCACATCAAGGTCAAAGCTCAAAGGCAACGACAGCGGCTGCTGCTGCTGCTGTTGGCGCTTTCATGGCTGTCGAAAACGTTTTTTCTTTAGCCAAATCAAAATGACTGCAAATGTGTCATGTAAAAATTGTTATGAAATTTGCGCTGAAAATTCGCAACACGCTGAGCTGAGGAAAAGCACATGGAAAACAACGGGAAACACATGAAGCGGCACGGACCAAGCCACAGTCAGTTGTCTCTGTGTGTGTGTGTGTGGGGCAGCTGCAGCTGGAGCTGGGAGCAAAAGTGATAAATCACCAACTTTGATGATAATTTTTTGTTTTTTTTTTTCTTCTCTTGACTGCTTCTGCTGCTTCTTTCAATTTTTTGTTGCTTTTTTTTTTGTTTTTTTTTTTTTTTTTGGCTGAACTGTCGCCTCGTATTAGGCACATCGTGTTGGCTCTGGCGGAGTTTGGCGGAGTGGCAAAGCGGCTTATCAAAATAAAAAATGATTTCATTATTTATTTTTCATCAGATAGCCAAGGCGCAGCATATCTCGTGTTCACTCCCGCTTTTCGTTTATTTTTTACAAGCATTTCCGCCTGTCGCGCTGTCGATGCTTGTTGTGTCAGCTTACCGCTAGTCCCACCCCCTCAGCATCCACCCGCCACGTCCTACGCCCCACACCCATATCGACCGACCCACCTCCACCTGCTTCACCTACGCCTTAAGCTTTCGCTGCCATCTCAAGGCCATTACCATGTTCCACACTTGTGTTTTCTTGTCTGTGCGGCTGCCCGCACTCCCTTTCCCGCTCACTCTCAAAGGGAAAGCCGAATAAGTTTATTATAATAATTTAGTGCGAAACATGTGTAGCAATATTTCTTTGCTTCGTTTTTTCTTTTTCTTCTTTTTTTTTTTTTTTGTGTGTGTGTGACCAGAGGGGATTGCGCCATGACATTGGTCGTCTCACTGCAGACAGCAGCAAAAGCAGCACAAAAAATGATGAAGAAGAAGAAGAAGCTACACAATCATGGATTTTAAGTAGAATTTATTAGGAGCCGTCGGTGTAGACATGCAAGCGAGCATAGCTCTAGGAGCTGGCAGGCATCGTGATTCATAGTTTTCCTTTTCTTTTTACAGACTTTCAAATCTGCTGGGTAACTGAGCACATGTTGCAGTTGAGTCGGGCTAACAAATTGTAATTAGTTTTTCTTTAGACTAACTGGGCAAGTTGTGTTTATGCAGAAAGTAGAGAAATTAACGGGTTTTTATTTTCCTAAATTTTTTTTTTAATATATTTTTTTTTCAATCAGCTTTAAGTCCACGCAATGCAAATGTACCACAAAAACGGAAATGAGAGAGAGAGAGAGAGAGAGAGAGAAAGAGAAAGAGAGAGGCTGGAAGCTGTTTTCCTATTTCATACTATATTTAGAAGAAGACTTAGAAGACGGTTCTTCTAAGTGTAACCGATTGCAAAGCCATAACAGTCGGATAACAGCCGCATAACAGACGCATAACAGACGCTTAACAGTTAACTATCTTGAAAAGCACACGAACTATGAGCTAGCTTTGTGGAAGTGTTTATAGACCAAAAGGCCTATGTAATATCAAATTTTCTATATGTAGTATAAGTCACTCCAGTTGAATATTCCCAGCAGCTTCAAGACTGTTATAGCTTTAACTCTTTTGCTCTGCTTAGGAGCAGGCGAAAAGCCTTGGGACTTTTCAGCTCAACTGTGATATTATAACATATAAGCTACACTTAACTTCGCTCCATTTATATATCCCTCACATCTTCAACGTTTTTAAAGCTTGAATTTTCAGCTCTTGAGTTTGTCTAGGGTCTTCTCTCTTGGCAGCCCAAATGCATTAAATAATCTAGCTCTTATAAGTCTTCAGTTTACTTCGTTCCCATTGTATATCCCTCACATTTTCAACGACTTTAAAGCTTTAACTTTTGGCTTTTCAGCTTTCATCTCTTCAACAAAATATTGTACATCTGTCAAGGGTTAAGCCATAGCCATGATGTTTGCTCATTAATGGGGGCGTGGGCCTTTTGTCAATCAGTCAGTCCGTGGGCATAGTCAGTACGCTAGTTAGTTTGTTTGGTGTCCAGCAGCTCATTAGCCACGCCTCGAATTGACGCGGTGCGGCCAGAAATGGTTTTTGTGGCCAAGGCTTCAATTTATGTTTTAGCAGCCGGCGCGCTACAAAGTAAATGAGCAAATTTACTTGTTATTCAAAAGAGGTCAAGTGGGTGGATTGGGTTAAGCTTGAATGGGGCTGCTGCCTTGGCCGGCGCTGGCAGCCACCGCCCAGGCCAAAGCCCAGATCCTGGCTCGGGCTGTGGCCCAGGCTGAGAAGGCTACGGCACCCTTAACCCCATCCAGTCGCGACTTGTGAAACATGATTTTGCTTTTTATACATTTGCTAATTTGCGCTCTCAACATTTCAGTTTTCACAAGCCAAGGGTGCGCGCTTGACTACGCTGCGACTAGGCTAGAGGTGGGACGCGTAGCTTTTGGGGCTGGCAAATGTACAGCGGGTCGGAGTGGGGCGGTGCGGTGCGGTGCGTGTGCATAACTGGTTTTTGTGGGACGGATGCCCAAGCCCCGTTCATGCTCATCATCTCGTGTGTGTGCATCAACATATACGTAAATGCTTACCCCATTTGGAGGCGGGGCCAGCCTTTGTTTTGCCTCCGGCACAAAAGAGCCAATATTAACGATAATCCGAGTCCGAGTCCGAGTGCGAGTGTGAGTCCGCATGCCGGCTGTCCAGGCACAGACAGACGGACAGCACAGGACAGGCCTGCGAATAGGCCAGCCTCAAATGCCGATAAAACCGGCAATGGCAATGGCAGCGGCAATTGGCAGTAGCATCCATTCATGGCTGCCATTCGGCCAATTGCTGGCCTCATTTGAATGCGGGCCAGCCGAACCCATTGGCCCGATAATAGATAACAATAAGAATCAAGTGAGCCAATTCCCAAATTTATGGCTCAGCCCAAGCACTAATGGCCATGTCAAGGGTCTTGCTTCGCCCAGTTTGGCATTCAAAACAGATCAAGATTTTTGTTCATTCTGAAAGCCTGTTTGCCCAACGACTTCAATGAAGTATCGATGTGGATTACGAACAGCATATGATTTTCAGTGCATGCATGAATGCATGCATAGAGTGAGAGCGAGTGATTTGTGTGTGTGAGTGTGTGTGTGGAGTGCCTGACTAGCAAGACCTAGTTCTGAAGCTAATGCTCTTCGAAACCATTATCAACTATCGATTACCTTATATGTAGTTACTATCGATCGTTATTGTCGACATTTTCCCATAGTGCTATCCCTTCAATTATTATTGGCCTACTACATTTATTTTATTTATTTTTTTTTTATATTTAAAAAATTTGTTTGAAAGGCAATATTATGATTACTGTAACGAAGTTCAAATTTATACTCTCTGTAATAAAGCTCTTTAAGTTCGAGTATGAATGAGTTGGGAAAGATCTGAAATCATGGGAGTTTACTGATTAAATGTGCTCTACTTTACTTCTATATTATTCTAGACAAGTTAAAATATCCATTATTTTAATCCATTATATATTAATAATTGGATAGTGAATAAAAATATAGAAAGTTTGTATTCCTCCTTCTCAAAGTCTACAAGTTTTCTGGAAAAAAAACGGTCTGATTGAAAAGTAAACGGGCATGACTAGACAGACTCTAATACAGACAGTAATACATATATTCAAGCAAAACTAATATACCCTTTATAATCGTATATGCAAAAGGCTAATTTCTAGCTTAAAAGCTTAAATTTCAAAGCAAATATTTTAAGGCAAATCTTTCTGATTGTTTTTATTTTGTTAATTTTTTTTATTTTTTTATCCAGAAAAAATTAGCTGAGTCCGGGTATTTCGCAGTCAGTGTGTCAGCCTCTTGTCTGCCAGTTGAATGGATGTATTGATGTTTATCAAATATTTTCTAATATAATTTCCAGCATTATCAAACACACAAACATACACATTTAACAATAACTTATAGCAAAAACTCTTAACATGTATAACCATATACATACATATAAACACATATACATATACACATAAATATCAAAATGGATTTATTTATAAAATTTCAAAATTTTCAGATTTTCAATTGGATGGCGAGTTGAGCGTGATTCGCAAGCTGCCAGATGCAAGATTAAGGCACACTGAGCTACAAGCAAAAATGCAATTGACCAATGTTTCGTCTAATTATAATAATGCTTGGAATGATGAAAACATAAATGGGCAGGCGTTAGTAATGCACTAGTTCAAGTCACAAATGTTAACGAAACAAATTATACTGTACCGCACGAACCTCCCTGTGGAAAGAACTGCGAATAGATCACTTTGAAGGTATCCTCCTTGACCACGCCCGTGGGGCACTCAGCCTTAAAACCCCGATAAATTCGTTTGATCTCGTCCTCTGTGAAGCGGGTGGCCCGGCTCAGGGCGCTCAGTGAGTCTGGTCTGTAGCGCGCCGGCGTCTCAAATTCTTCTAGTTCGGAATCTGGAAATTCGATCGATGGACCACAAAGCACATAGAATAAAACGGTAAGTGAGAAAAGAGAAAAAGTGAAAGCAATGCATGAGTGAATTGTTCTTTTTTTTATTTTATTTGTTTTTTTTTTTTTCAAGCAAAAGCTGTGGAATATTAATTATAATATCAAAAAATTGTTAAGCTACAAGCCATGAAATTAAATAAACATTTCTTTTGTGAACTGAACTGGGGCACAGTTTTAGGAATTGAACAAGTTGAAGGGGAATGCAGAGAGCGAGAGAGAGAGAGAGAGAGAGAGAGATAAGGAGAGAGATAGACTCGGTATAATCTTAGAGATGCATCGAGTTGGAGCACTGAGAAATTTCGAAGTTATAATTTCGATTTGTCATTTTTCGAGTTATGTATTGATTGACTCCGGTTAAAATGGAGCTTTAGCTGCTTATAAGACTCAACTACTTATAAGGCAAATCGTGCTTAATATTTTATAAATTATTCTCTGATCACCTTAACTTTTTATAATATATCATTATTTTATTTCATCTGCGCTATTGAGCCTTATTAGAATTTCAAGAAAGTTTACATTTGAGAATTGGAGCCTTCTCTTTCTCAGAGCCCCTTCTTTGCTCTCTCAATCAGAAAGACAGTTCCTTGTGCCTTTTCCTTGTATCAGACATATAGCTCTCTTCATCTATATCACCCAGAGTCTCTTCTACTCTTTTTCATATAATCGAACCTAATCTGATTTTCTCTGTGTTTGCTTTTTTTTATATAATTTCAAAAAATCGAATTTTAGCTCTAAATAAATCACAAATTTTGTTTTTTGTGTTTTTCGAAAACAGTTTCCTTTCTTCGCTTCTTCTTAGAAATACAGTCCACGTTTTGCTTCATCCCGGTTTTTCTCAGAATTACATTGAGACGTTTTTTTGGCTTTTTCCCTTTAATTGCTCTCTCTCTATCCCTCTCCCTCTCCCTCTCACTCGCTCTAACTTTCTAAGCAATGTAAACTTTTTCCATTTGTTGCTTCTTAGAAAGAAACCCTTTCCTTTCCGCATCCCTCCCTTCTCTTTCCCATCTCCGGCCATATTAATAGCTTCAATCTCTCATCTGCTTTAATACATTATGCCTATCCACATCTACCCAATACCCACACTTGCAGTAAGTACTAATAAATCACAAATTTTGCTTAAATTGAAGCATGTCTGATAAAAGATAAAAACCCAAAAAATGTAGAAGAAAGGAGAAGTTCAAGCAGTCGCGTGTCAGCTTTTGTCAGCTGCCCAAATTTGTGCATTTTTGTGTGAAATTCGTGTCATTAGCCGGAGGTAGATTTCGTGAGGTATTTCCTTATCAGTGTACGTCTGTCGTAGTATGTCTTGCTGACTACCTGACAGCTCGTTTGCCTAAGACACCAACACACACACACACACACACACAGACTTCTATGTGGCGTGTAGAAGTTGGCGAGATTTTGATCTTTTGAGTCGCTTCTAGCGCTGAATTGACTTGCAACTTCCTTAAGTACTTGGCCTGTCGCAGCGCGAAACTTTTTCAGGCTTTTCATGTAGTTTTTTTCTCTCTTCTCTCTTCTTCTTTGATATTTAGACTGTGTTTGCATGGCAAAGAATCTGCAACTTTTGAGCTAGAGGGCGAGAGAGGGAGTGAGGTAAATGCCCCTTTTTGACTTTTTGCTAACAAACCAAAAAAAGAAAGTCTTTGTGGCTGCTGTGTGGAGCCTCAATTTTGGTTAATTAAAAGTTTTGCACAGCTCATAAGTACACACGCACACACATACACCGACAGCAGCTGCAGGCAACCATGTGTGTGTGTGTGTGTGTGTAGGAGTATGCCTAAAAACAGGCAACACTTTTCACGCGCTTGACAAATGGCTGTTTAAAAATGCATGAAACATGCGCTGCGACTGAATTGTGGCAGACAGCCGGAAGGCCGGAAGGCGTTGGCCAAAAAGAAACAGTAGAAGAGTCAGAGGTGGCGGTGGAGGTGGAGACCGAGTAGGCGACGGCGTTGGCAAGTGCAGATGAGTTTGGCCGCGCAGGGGCAGGCGGTGCAGCACATCAACTATTTGTTAGCTACGCCCATATTTAGCACAAACAAACGACGCGACGCGACGCGACGCGAATGCGCCGAGCTCAGTTTAGCTGCCTGAAGTTATACTTGCATGTGTATCTGGAATGCAAGTATATATTCTCTATCCCTCTCTCACTTTCCATATCGCTATATGTATATGCACAAAGAGATTGGGCAATTTGCCATGCATATTGAAATATATTTATATGTGTGTACATATATTGAAGGCAGCTCTTAAAACCAGCTCATACTGAATCAAAAATTTCAATCTCAACAGCATTTTCAATATGTACATGTGTATATGTGTATATAAAATAAAAATAAAAGTTATTAGCTTGCCGGGTATTTGGCCGTGTGCTATGCTCACTCAAATGTTTTTAATTTGTATATGCCCGTTGGCATAACACACACACGCACACACACACATGCATATGCATATGCAAAGTCTTTGTTTAATATGCATTTTCTTTTCCATTTTTTTGGCAGAGAATGACTATATACATATATATTTGTATATATA